GGCATTGCTGGCCTTTCACTGGGTTGCCTCGGCTGCCTTTAACAGGGCTCAGATAGGTTCACCTGAGGCCAGAAAGGCTCTGCTGTACTAGGTTGGACTTGACCATACTGAGCTAGACTAGGCTAGGATGGGTGTGCTCAGTTCAGTCGCTCTCAGCTCGCTGAGGATCATGGAATAAGATTTGAGATCATCGAGAGCTGTTTGGAGAGAGAATGGCCAGGCACTGTCCCACTGACACAGGCAGTTTTTTTTTGTCCCCCATCGTAAGTCTCTGTAGCTCTGTGGTGGCAGGAGGGTAACACTACAGCGGGGAAAGCAATGACAATCCCAGGAGTGACTGAGCCAGTTTCTGGGCACCATGAAGGAGACACCAACCATGGAGGTTGTGGTGCCTTTTACGATTCCCGTAAGACAAAGAAGTCTCACTCTGCCTTTCTCCTAGGTCAGAGAGCTGCACTTGCATCTTTTGGCACCTCCCCATTGCCCTCAAAGTGCAGGACTTCTCTCTGTCGAGGAATAAATGTTCCCGTGTGGACTTCTATCTCTTGGCTGATCTGGCAGTGTGTAAATCTCAACATTTCCAGGGGCATGCCTCAATAGAGCAAACTGATAAAATATGTAGTCTTTTGTGATGGGCTTTCTGTCATCCACCATTGTGTTTGCTTTTATATTCTATTTTTATTTTTTAAAAACAATCTTTTTATTTTACATGCCAGTCCCAGTTCCTCCTTCTTCCCTTCCTCCCCTCCTTTCGCTTCTCCCGCCATCCACCCACAATGCCCCATCCACTCCTCAGAGAGGGTGAGGCCTCCCATGGGGAGTCAACAAAGTCACATCACTTGAGGCAGGACCAAGCGACCCCCGCCCCATACTAGGCTGAGCAAGGAATCCATCCAGTCATAGGGAATGGGCTCTAGAGATAAGTACTGGCCCCACTGCCAGTGGCCCCGCAGATTGCCCAAGTCTCACAACTGTCACCCACATTCTGAGGGCCTCGTTTGGTTCTATGCAGGTTCCCCAGCTATCAGTCCAGAGTCAGTGAGCTCCCACTAGCTCAGGTCAGCTGTTTCTGTGGGTTTCCCCACCATGGTCTTGACCCCTTTGCTCATATTATCACCCTTCCCTCTCTTTGACTAAACTCTGGGAGCTGGGCCCAGTGCTTATCTGTGGACCTCTGCATCTGCTTCCATCAGCTACTGGTTGAAGGTTCTATGATGACAATTATGGTAGTCATCAATCTGATTACAGGGGAAGGCCAGTTCAGGAATCCTCTCCACTACTGCTTAGAGTCTTAGCTGGGGTCATCCTTGTGGATTCCTGGGAATTTCTCTAGTGCCAGGTTTCTCTCTAGCCCCATAATGGCGCCCTCTATCAAGTTATCTTTTCCTTGTTCTCCCCTTTCTGTTCTTCCCCCAACTTGTCCATCCCATTCATTCCTTCATGTTCTCTTCACCCCTCCCTTTCTCCCTCCCCCTCTCCCCAGCACTCTCAATTTACTTAAGTCATCTTGTCTACTTCCCTTTCCCAGTAGGATCCATAGCATGATTTTCAAGGTTCATTCATATTGTAGTATCACCAATTATCTATTCCTTTATCTGGCATATTAATATTCCACTATATGAAAAATACTGAATTTGGTTTTTTCCATTCATCAATTGAAAGACATCTGAATTTTGTCACTTTTTGGTTATTGTGGAATGTGTGAACATTGATGTAGGTGATATCTATATCTATATCTATCTCTATCTATCTATCTATCTATCTATCTATCTATCTATCTATCTATATATCATGGGCATGTACCTAGGAATGGGATTGTAGTCTCATACAGGTGCTATATGGTTAGCTCTTCTGAGCACTTCCAGAGTGTTTGCTTATGTGGCCACAGTGTTTTCTGTTCTCATGAGTAAATGGACATGCATCCCAATTTCTCCTCATCCTTTCCACACGTTTTCAGTGGGAAATTTATTTGTCTAGACAAAGTCATTTTTGGTCGTTTGGTTTGTCTTATTGCACGCCATTTTCATGAATGCCATTTCCAACATTATACACATTAGGAGCTGAAATTGTCTCTGGTTGCAAGGAGTACCATGGCCGCACCAGGGGGACAGAAACAAGGACTCTGCTTGGTAAGTACTCTCATTGAACAGAGAAGGGATGTTGTGGGAAGCACAGACACACAGCCCAGCTTGGGGAGGCCATAGTATTAAGTAGTATTAAGTAAGCCTTTTCTAGAAAGAGTCTTAATCTGCCTGTGATTTTAAAAATTTATTTTAATCAAAGCTATTCAAATATAACTCCCTCTTTGGAGACAGGGTTTTGTTATTGTAGCCCAGGCTAGCCATAAACTTGTGATCTTCCTGACCCAGCCTCCAAGATGTTAGATGTGGTATAATCATCCATATTAAGTTCATTAGTTCTATGGCATTAGTCTTTTTTGTTCATTTGAAAAAATCTCTTCAGGTAGTTTTACATTTTATTCTCTCGAACACCTCCAGTGACCTTTATAGTAGTTGCATTCCCACAGCAGTGTGCACCCTACACGTGCTGCTGCGCTATTCACAGTAGCCAGGAAGCAGGAAATAAAGCCAGCCTAGATGCCCACCAACAGGTGCATGAAGAAAAAAGGCATGTGTGCGCGCACATGTGTGCATGGATTTGTGTGTGTGTGTGCATGTGTGTAATGAAAGTAGAAAAGGACCATGAAATAGGAGGAGATAATCTCAAGGGAGGAAAGATAAGGGAAAAGAGAGTAATAGAATATGCGTAACAGGAAAATAGACTGGAGGGCTATTTGCAACAAGGAATTGGAGGTGCCAAGGTGTTGGGTGACTTTCCCAGTGTCTGAATCCCTGTATTTTGCCAGTGTTTCTGCCTTTTGGCCTCCAAGTGCTAAACTATTCTGGCCTTCACAGAAAGATTGACTGGCTTTTGCTTAATAGAATGAAAGGAGCAATGGAGAGCATTGCCAAGCTTTAGTATTTATTACTTATAAAATGAAGCTGAGATAATAGGTCAACGCAATAAATTTTAGGAGCGTTTTTTTTCCTATTTATTTATTTATTTATTTACTTACTTACTTACTTTTAGACAGGGTCTTTCTGTGTGGCCCTGGCTGTCCTGGAACTCACTCTGTAAGCTGGCCTTGAACTCACGGAGAGCCACCCAATTCTGTTTCCCGAGTGCTGGGATTAAAGGAATGTACCCCCACACCTGGCCAGTATATTTTAAAATCAGGCATGTGTGCATGTGGGTGCAGGTACCCTTGGACGTCAGAGGATCTCCTGGAGCTGGAGTTACAGATGATCTTGAGCTGCCATGTGTGCGTTTGCATTTGAACCTGGGTCTTCTGCAGGTCCAGCCAGCGTCTTAACTACTGAGCCACTTCTCCAGATCTCCCCTAAGTTTTTAACTAATTAGCTAACAAAAGATTTATTTCACGTCTATTATGTGCTATGGCATCTTAAAGGCACTGTGATAATCGTAACTCACAAATAAGAAACAAAATTCCTGCTCTCGGAAAGGAGTCTGTGTGTCCATGATTTTTGTGTGTGCTTTATTTTTTTTTCTGTCTTACTGATTGATTTTAGTTTTGGTTTTCTGATTTTTAGAGAAAGAAGGAACAGAGAAGGTGGAAGGGGAGAGAGAAGACAAACTTGAAGTTGGATGGATAAGGTGGTGGGAAGGATCTGGGAGGAGCTGGAGGAGGGAAAGGAATATGATCAAAATACAGTGTAAGGAAACATTTTTCTAAGACTAAATTAATTTTCAAAAAGAGGAGCCCAAATATAAGATGCCGTAAGTTGGAAGATGCAGCCTGAGATCGTTAGCTCACTAGTTTGAATGTTTGGGGGGAAACTAGGCATAGTTTAATATGAGTGTGTATTAGACAAAGTAGAAACTGATAAGAAATGACAAAAGTCATTAATTGAGAAGTAACTGCAAAACCTCATTTTGCCCAAAAAAAAAAAGTACTTGAAAAAAGATTTGGAAGCATGTATAGTAAACTGCTTGAGGGTGTTGTGTGAGCACTGGGAGCATGGTGGGTCTATTGTCTTGGCTTTATTTCATTTCGCCTTTCTCCTTCCCTCTCTTCCCCTTTTACAGTTCCTTCTCCTCCTTCTCCTCCTTCCCCCATTCCTTTCTCTTCCCCTTCCTCCCTGTTCCTTTCTTGTCAGGGTCCCATATAGCCCAGGCTGGTCTGAAAACCCTGTGTAGTTGAGTTGAGGATGACCTTGCTGCCTCCACCTCCCAATCGCTAAAGTTACTGCCATGTGCCACTGTGCCTGGTTTATTTTCAGATTTCCTAAAATAAACTTTGTGGTGTTTGGAAAGAAAATGCCCCCCCCCCCAAAGGCTGCGGCACTATTAGGAGGTATGGCCTTGTTGGAGTAGGTGTGTCACTGTGGAGGCAGTCTTTGAGGTCGCATATATTCTCAAGTCACACCCAGTGAGACATCACTTCCTGTTGCCTTCAAGATCAAGACAGAAGAGCCCTCAGTTTCTTCTTCAGCACCATGTCTATGGTCAAGCTGCCTTGCTTCCTGCCATGACTAAACCTCTGAACTGTAAGCTAGTCACCACAATAAAATGTTTTCCTTCTAAGAGTTGCCCTGGTCATGGTGTCTCTTCACAGCAATAGAGACCCTAATGATGCTATACTAGTTTTGTAGTTGCGTAAGTAAGCAAATAAATGAATAAACAAATAGATAAAGAGTTACTTCCAATTAAAAAGAACCCTCTCTTCATGAACTTACATGCCAGTGACTTTTATAAGGATTTTTTTTGTTTATAATATTAGTACATCCTTTCTCCCCTCCCTCTCCTTCCCCTCTCAGGTTCTACCTCTTATCAACTCCTCAATGCAGGTAATGAAGGGTCATGGAGATGCCTGTAAAGTAGCTATAGATTGTTTGCTCAACTGATGCTGTTGCTGTTGGCTACTGCTGCTTCTGGTGGTGCTGGTGCTGCTGGTGTTGGTGCAGGTGATACGGCTGGTGTTAGTGGTACTGATGCTGGTGGATGTGCTTGTGGTGGTGTTGGTGCTGTTGGTGCTGCTTGCTGGTAGTGGTGCTGCTGGTGGTGCTGGTTATGCTGGTGCTGGTGCAGGTCGTGCTGATGATGCTGGAAAGGCTGGTAGTGCTAGTTGTGCTGGTGGTGCTGGTGGTGATGCTTCTAGTGCTGGTGCTGCTGCTGGTGTTGTTGTTGGTGTTGCTGCTGGTGGTGCTGGTACTACTGATGCTGCTGCTGGTGGTGCAGCTGCTGGTGCTGGTGGTGATGCTGGTGCTAGTGATCCTCTTAGTGGTGGTGTTTCTGGTGGTGGTGCTGCTGCTGATGGTGCTGGTTCTCTTGCTGCTTGTGGTTCTGATGGTGTTGGTGATTTTGATGGTGGTGCTGGTGCTGGTGCTGCTGTTAGTGGAGATGCTGGGTCTACTGCAGCTCCTGGTGGTGGTGATGCTGCTGTTGCTGCTGGTGGTGGTGGCTCTGCTGCTGCTCATTGTGCTGGTGCTGCTTGTCCTGGTGTTGGTCGTGTTAGTGGTGCTGCTGGTGCTGGTGGCTCTGCTGCTTCTGGTGCTGGTGGTGCTAGTGCAGATGCTGCTGCTGGTGCTTGTGGTATGGGTGCTGGTGGTGTTGGTAGTGGTGCTACTGGTACTGGTGCTGGTGGTGCTGCTGGTGCTGCTGGTGCTGGTGGTAGTGGTGGTGCTGCTTCTGCTAGTGGAGATGCTGGGTCTACTGCAGCTCGTAATGCTGATGTTGATGCTGTTGGAAGTACTGGTGCTGCTGGTGGTGTCCGTGCTGCTGATCGTTGTGCTGGTGGTGCTGGTCTTGGTGTTGGTGTTGCTGGTGATGCAGGTGGCTCTGCTGCTTCTGGTGCTGGTGGTGCCAGTGCTGGTGGTGCTGGTGCAGGTGGTGCTGCTGGTGCTTGTGGTACTGGTGCTGTTGGAGGTGCTTGTGGTACTGCTGGTACTGGTACAGGTGATGCTGCTGGCGCTGGTGGTGCTGGTGGAGGTGCTTGTGGTGCTGCTGGTGCTGGTGCCGCTGGTGGTAGTGGAAGTGGTGCTGGTGCTGCTGGTGGTGGTGCTAGTGGTGG